CCAAGTAAGGAAAATGTATCAACCATGGCACCTGCAACGGTTTTAGCCTTTTTGTCTACTAGAGGCTTCAGTACGCAGAATCTAGTGCAGATGTCGACTAGAATTAACACGTATGTATACATGTTACTACTTGATTGGACAGGTCCCATTAAATCAAATGCGTAGGCATCTCCAGGAACATATGCGTAGACAGGTCGATGAGGATTGTAACCCTTTCTAGCAATATTGTACTTTTGACAAGTATTGCACTTGCTTACATAGTCAACCGCATCAGCCAATAGATTAGGCCAATGAAGGTTTTTATTGTGGATCGCTTTCACAATGTGATCCGCCCCAAAGTGTCCAAGCTTATGCACCTCATCAATGATCTATTTGTGATCTTCCACCGGTGGAATTATGTAGTTTTTATCGCTGAACTTGGAGGGATTCTGTACGTAGAAAACCTTTTTGCTTTCTTTTATCATTTTTAATTCATGTTCCTTTCGTATACAGTGGTTGAAAAAATTGTTCACGTATACTGCTACTCTCAGTGTAAACGTGGCGCTCTCGCCAACAAACAATACCAAACACTACAAATTTGCATTAACGACTCTTCTCTAAGTAGACGTTAATGTGAAAGTTTTTAAGGTTTCGTTTCATATTTAAAAACTTTATTAAGGAAGGAAAATGTAATAAGCCGGGATGTGAACAATTTTTTCCACCGTACCAAAAATTTTATTAGTAGCGGGTATGTCCACCATTAGCATCAATAACTGCCTTTATTCTTGCTGGCATACTCTCTATGTAGCTTCGGCATACCTCATCAGTAAAAGAATTCCATTCTTTTTCCACTCGTTCCCAGAGTTCATGGATACCTTTGGCCTTCTGTTCATACGCACTCAGTTTGAGTTTAAGATGATGCCAAAGATGCTCAATTGGATTAAGATCAGGGCTCTGGGAGGGCCAGTCGTCTATATACCGTACTCTTTCGGTGTTTAGCCAAGCCAAATGTTGTATTCAGCTTTAGTGTTATTGAAAAAAGGCTATTAAGTCGATGACTTGCGAATTAGATTCTTTATTAAGAAGAGCTGAATATTATTATATTAAGTTTGTGTGAGAGTTTACTTGGGTAGAGAATCTATGACTGCTATTTATATTATTGTCGTCACTGGCATTATTTATGCTTATATTAATATTGTTATACTAGTAGCTACTATAGTTGTTATTATAAGTTATTCTTATCAGATGCGATAGAGGAATGTAAAGTAGAATGTATGCTCTACTGTAAGATTATACTCGAGTTATTATAATGATTATCTCATCAAACACGTCATCACCCTCCTCCAGATGGAACATCGTCCTTTTGAATAAAGTGGAGTTGAGTTAATTATTGTAATTGAGCCTTATGCAGCTTATGGTATGATTACTTGTGATTAACATTTACAGAAACAGTGAAGAGTAGAGTACTTCGATATTAACCTTGAGCGTGCACTCTCAAAGCAATAACTGTTCCAATGAATATTTTTACAATGTGTTCATTTGGCATTATTCTGATGCTTTATATTCTTTTCATTAGATGACGGTTGTGAGTTATCAATGGAAACTAAGCTCTGTTAAGCCATTGATAGTAACATAATCTGTACATATACGTATGGCATGTAATTGTAATGTCATAGCATAGATCTCTTTTTGGTGTTTGACTGAAATGTCTTGTTCATCAGCTATGCCATTAAAAAACCCAGTGGGAGAAAAAGGTACAATGTGAACAAATCACTGTGTCGTTAATTATTTAACTTGTTGCGTTTACTTCTACGCAGATTCGAATTCTCATGTCTTTGTCGTTTGATTTGTTTATCTGACAAAGAAAGCTGTTTAGACTGATATGTCTCTGATTCTTTTGTAGACTTAACGGTCACGTCTACGTCATCCATGGTATGGATTTCTTTTAGCAATTTTGTCTTTTTGTAATTCTTTGGAGGTGAGTATTTTTCTCTTTCTTTTTGTAATTGTTCTTTAGAAGGTTTAACACCTAATCTTCTCCAGTATTGGTTCAACACCTCAGGATCAGTAAAGTTTTCGGATGGAATCCAGGAATCGTCATCCTTTGTATAGTTCTTCCAGCGTACGAGATACTCTCTGTTACCTGGTTCACCTCTGTGATCAATAATTGCTTCAATGACATATAGTTCATCTTCAGGTACTATCTCTTCTTGAGAAATTAACTTTAATTCTTCAGGCGAATAATTCCTTGACATTAGAATGCCTTCTTCGTCTTTCAGTACATATGAACCACCTGTCGTTTTTCTTACGACACTGTATGGTCCTTGGTAGGCAGGTGATAAGTTGTTATATTTATCCCTTATTCTAACCATAACATAACTTCCTTCTGGATAGTCAATAACTCTATGTTTCTTATCAGCAATACCTTTCTGTATATCAGTATACGCTTTAGTGCGTTCAGCAATAGCTGGAAATATGATGTTGGACATATAGTCGATTCTATTCATCAATTCTTCATGAGTCATATATGACATTTCTTTGGCTTCACCTTTATCGTCGTAACGTATAAAGTCATTCATCCTTCGTGCGAACATAAGTGAGAAAGGAGTAGAGTTCAATCTCTTGGATACTTTGTTATTTAGCATCAACTGCACTGCAGGAACATAATAATGCCAATCTTCACCATTACCCTCCATGATCTTTGCCAGTACCTTCTTTGTACTTTGTACGAATCTCTCACTAAGATTACTAGCTGGATGATAAGCTGTTATATACCGTTTATCAATCGCCATAAGCTTGAACATGTTATTGATCAGCTCATTCTTGAATTCAGTTTCATTATCTGAAATAGTAAAGTGTCTTGGATACCCCAAGAGTGAGAATATCTTTATAAGTGCCATAGCTACACATTTAGCGGTTTTATCAACCAATGGTTCTAAGATGACAAACCCTGTACATATATCAACTACAATCAATAGGTATGTATATTGCTCAGCATTAGACTTAAATGGTCCAGCCAGATCCATGGCATAAGAATCACCAGGCATGTAGCTGTATACAGGTTTCTGAGGATTATAGCCTCTTTTATGTACATTGTACTTTTGGCAAGTAGGGCATTGACTGACATACTGTACTGCATCTGTGTCGTGTTTACATAGATCACACATCTCTTAAGTCTCTATTTATTCATTCTCAGCTAATAGACGACGTCAGACATTTACAGTCGTCATCCCTCATATATATTCAGGTCGTACCCTCATTTATTAGTTCTTCTCTCAGACTTATAATAAAAATAGTAATTGTTAGCTATTGACTCTTCACTGTTTTTCAATTATATAAGCACAAACATCACAAATATAACTGGAGCTGCCCAAGGACTATTTGAGGGAGAGATTATTCCTAGTTTACAATACTTGCCCAATTCCTTCTTCAAGTATTCGGTTTCAACTGGACTCATACGATATGGGCGATGACTAATTGGTAGTGTATTTTCTTCTACTATAATTTTATGTTGTAACAAGTTGGTGTGTCCAATTGTATCATTATACCAATCAAATATGTGTCGATATATGTTGAGTAGCTTCTTCAGATGTAACTTTTGTTCTTTTGGTAATTGTCCAATCTCCAATTTTTCATACAGCTCTGATTCAATAGGAAGATAATTGACACCTTGATCATTTTTGTTACTGTCCATTGTGCATAGAGTTAATTGTTCGGTTACATCGTATGCATTTATCAGTGCTTCTGCATCTTTAATTATTCTTTCTAATAATCCTATTCTTTCATTTGGTTCCAAGATTATATCTTCCTTTGTTCGGTTGAAAAGGTGTATTTCAAAGTTTCTCCTGTTAACCATTAGAGATGAACATGAATCAAAACATCCTGATGCATGGGATATTTTCTTGTTTAGGGCTTGAAAATAATATAAGAGATTGGGGTGTTCATCTTGTGGTTTTTGAAAACGTAATACTCTTGATGATTCTGCTGGTATAACAAGTCCATGTTCTCCGGCTGATATTTCAAAATATTCTGTAGTGTTGACTACTGATATATGATTATTTTCCATTATTAGTAGATCTTCCTCCTCTTTGTTATCATCATCTCTTTCTTCTTCTTTATAATCGTCATCATCGTCATC